GCAAATCCTGAGGAGGCAAATTTTGAAGCCTTATATAATGAGAAGGTGAACTTCCTAGCCAACCAAGGTGGTGGTTATCATTCAAACTACCCAAGGTTGGGGTAAAGATGAAGGATGGAAGGATCATGAATGGAGGGACCTAAATCCTAATTGGAAGGATGGGGAGAAGGACAGATATGTGCCTCCCCACGAGCGCCAAAAGCCAAAAGATTCGGAGAGTGGTAGGTCTGAGGATATGCTTTCGCGTATCCTCAACAAAGTTGAAGGGTCAGAATAAATGTTGAAAGGCATGAAAGAAGATGTTTCTACCCTTAGTTAGACCGTCACCTCCCATTCTATTTCAATCAAGCAATTGGAGAGCCAAATGGGTCATATATCGTCTCACCTCAATCCGAGACAGCAAGGGGGTTTGCCTAGTGATACTATGGCTAACCCTAAGAGTGAGGTTTGAAGGTGGACTTGCGTCGTGCCACGACGTTAACTAAGGCGCTATTTGGGAGGCAACCCAAAACCCTTTTAATTACTTTCTTATTTCTGGATAAAATAATGGTGTGTTGATTGTGCAGATGGAAGTGTGAAGAGTGAACGAACAGTGCAGATTGGCGAGTAACAGGTCCAATCGGCGAATCGCTGAATAGTTCGGTGACTCAGAACTAGACCGTCGTTAGACTCAATACCATCTTGCATTGGAGTTTGTAAAACTCGGTCATAACAGGACATTATTGGCGAATCGCCGACCGTGTCAGTGATCTCGACAGAGACCGTCATTTGGTCCCCCCACTTAAACCAGATGTCCTGTAAATTTTGGCGAAAAAGCTAAACAGTCGGCATTCCACCGAGTGAATAGGCGAGCTGGACTAATGTCGCCGAGTGGGCGAGAATTGGACGGTTTTTGCTAGCCAAAGGTTTAAAAGTTTCAACTTCATTCATTTTCCCTCACTTTTTATCTGCCCAAACTCACACCTGCACTTTATTTTCAATATCTCTACACTTTTAGAGTATTTTAGTTGTTGATTTATGTTCGGGACTTGGATTGCAGTGGTGCCTAGCGAATCAATTCCATTTTAGTCAGCACGAAAGGTTGGTTCCCAAACTCTGAGTTCTTTCTATTTATTTTGGACCAAATGCAATGATATTACCTTGTTGATTTGTGTTGGGTTTCTCTGGTAAGATTAGAATATTTGTCTGCCTGTTAGATTTGCAAACTTTGCCTGTACTAAGTTAAACATTTAATTCTTGAAGGCTGTAGTTTTTTAAACTGACTTAAAATTTGTGGTTTGAGCATGATTGTCATTGGGTTGAAGTCCAATTTGAGTTGTTTATGCCTTGATTGTGTTTTCGGGGGTCGCAGGGTAAAATTCAGGAAAGTGGGTCGAAAGCAGGCACCTTGGGTCATTTGGCGAGCTGGGTCAAGCTCGCCAAACCACTCGGTGGTTTGCCTACAATCCCCATCTCACCTTTAATTAAATGCTAATTGTGATGTTGAATTCTGTAATTTTCGGTGAGACGCAGGACATCGCCGAAAGCATTCGGCGTTTCGCCGAAAGACTTCTGATTCTCCCTTCGTCTGCATCTTTGTATCATATATGCACTACACTCGGTGAACCGCCTAAGTAATTGCGCGCTTCGCCAACTGGTTCGGTTAAGTGATGCTGCAATTAAACTGCATTGTTTTCTTTTGTCTGAATACTTTCTAACTTTTTCTCGAAGCTTTGCAGAATTGGCTAGACCAAAAGTAGTGGGAAGAGATATGCCACCCCGACTAACAAGAGCGAAAAATTTCAGGAAAAATACAAAGGCAACAAATCCCCCTAAAATGGATAATGAGGGCAAGAATCTCAGTACCAGCAAGGGAACAAATCCTCGAGACCCCATTATTCCCTCGTGGAAACATGGATTCTTCACAGTAATCCACTCCTTTTTGGTGGCTCATGACTTGGACATTCTTAGTAAGTCAATTGTCGCTGAATCTTCAAAAGAAGCTCCGGGGGCCATTATCAAATTCCAGGCTGACACAACGGGCACTGATGCCAGATAGATGGAGCGACTGTGTAGACAGGATTTCTACCTCCCTCTCTGTCTTTCTTTATTCTAAATTCTGGATATTCTGTTATTTGCATTTGAGGACAAATTTCTTTTATTTGTGGTGGGGTGAGTCCCACCTTTTGTGTGCAATTTTTGACTCGTGTTTTCTCTTATGTATTTGGGCTTTGAGCTATTATTGTGTTAAATACTGCTTTCTGTGGATGATTGTGCTTATGGCTCCTTTTGTTTTTAATTGCAAAACGATTTTGACCCTTCTGAAATTTTTTGAATTTTTTGCACATTTTTGCCACCCGCTATATGCTCTTGAATATGGCTGTTCTTTTGCAAAAAATTGAGTCACCGATGACTTGAATAGTGCTCTCAATCGAACGAACATTAATGTATGGCTACGATGAGGCCAAATGAAGTTGCATAAACAATATGTGAACTCTTTGCATCTCGTTATGACTAGCCTAGTATCAAATTGATTCTCTTGTGATGATCATTGCACACTAGTGAAAGTGTGGAGTCTTGTTTGACTATAGTGTCAATGCCAAGTGTGATGAGCTTACTTTGAACCATGCATGATAGATCTTAGAATTTGCCCCATTGGTCCGGTCAACTAAGTGATGCTATCTCTTGATATGATCTTAGGCAACTTCGAAGAGTGTGAACCAATTTGTCATATACCTCTTTTGTGACCTACCTTGTGAGTGTGTCATTCTCTCTTGAACACCCCTTGAGCCTTACCTTTCTTTGGAAGAAACTTGATGAAAATTAGAACTTTCTTAATCCATCACCCATAATCCTCATGAAGCTGTGGTTAGTTGAATAGCCAACTTAGGAAAAGCCTAAGTTGGGGGTGTGTTGAAAAGATAGGGGAAAGTCAAGAAGTGCAAGGAAAGTCTCCTCTTACACATGATTTAGAGAAAAATGGAACCCCTCCATATTAAAAAAAAAAAAAAGACAGAAAAGAAAAAGAAAAAATATTAAAAAGAAAGTTGTGGAATAAATTACAAAATAAATGGGGTTTCCTAACAATTCATGGGAAGAGAATAATAGGATGACTCATGAGCACTAAAGAAAATGATAAAGGGAAAGGGAAGGAAGTGTTGTGAATACCACATCTCAGGAGGATGAAAGTCACTGAGCCTAAATGATCATACCTTTGCACTCAGCCCCATTACAAGCCTTGGAAAGACCTTTATGATCTTGAGTGAGCTGAAGCAAATGTTGATTGGAAAAAGACGGGCAAACCTATGGGTGAAATTATGCATTATGTTCTTCTTTGTGAGTATGAGCATTGCATCTGATTCCAAAGCTTTAAACTGTGAAACTTTTTGTGTGAAAATGGAATCATTCTTTGTGTGAGGGCATTTGAACACTATAGTTGAGCTTGAACTTGCATTTGAAGCAAGTATTGTGAGCATGAGATTCGTTGATATTGGTGAGTCACAACTTGAATCTTTGAGTGCACATTTAATCTTTGCATAAGTAAATTGAGTCTTGTTGTGTATATTCATGATTGAGTCTTGTGTAGCACTATTCGAGATACCTTTTTTGAACGGCTGAACTTGAGTTTTCTTGAGAACAAGCAAAAGTTTAAGTTGGGGGTGTTGATGAGTCCACAAATTGGACTCATTTAGGGCTATATTTTAATAAAAATTGTGTCCTCAAATGCTTATTTTATCTCAATATCTTATGAAAACCATTAAGTTTCACGTATTTGATGTTTTAAGGAAAGCATGGACACTACGTCGCAAAAAGGAACGAAAATGCTTAAAAGAACGAAGAAATGAAGGTCTGAGGATCACTGAGTCCACTTGGCGAGTCGCCGAAGGGTCTTAATTCGCCTTTTGTTCCAGTGTGTTGAGCCCTGAAGGAAAGGATCAAGTCGGTGGAAAAAGGGATCAGTCAGTGGAAAAAGGGATCAGTCGGTGCATCACCGAGCAGTTCCCCGAAGCAGTACCATGTCCGCCCAATGACCAAGAGCACGACGATGTTGAAGGCTGGTGCAAGATGGCGATGAACTACACCAAGGGCGAATTGCCGAGTTGATCAACGATTCCGACTAACGACGCCGAATGATCCGCAGCAGCACAAATCTGTGAAAGCTATAAATACTAGTTAGAATTGTAGTTTTAAGAGTCGAAAAATTATTATAATTTTCATATAGAATAGTACTTTTTGATATTTTTTTCTCTAAGTTTGAGAGGGTTTTGAAGACTTGAAGAAAAAGAGAGTTTCATCTCCAAGGATTTGGACTTGGGTCTCTTGGATTCTTCATTCTTGGCCTGTAACAAGACTTAAATCTTCATACCCATTTGAATGCAAGCTCATTTAGGTATAAATTTCTATCTCTTGATGTGTGGCTAAAAACCCCAATTCTTGGGGTGTCATTTAGCGAATATGGGTTAAGATTGTTGTTGGGTCTTGCTTGATGATAGATTAGATGTAGTTTAATGGTGATTTCATCTAGTAGTTGTGGATGAATTTAACAAATTTGTAGTTGCAAATACAAGTTTATGTATGTGTTTTCGGCTTGCTCGAGAGAGAAGTCGCGAAACCAAGACTACTAGATTGATGGCCTAAGGAGTGGGTCGACATGAGGTTCAGCTCGAGAGAGTGAACTCTAGTCCCCTATCCTAAAACTCAGCTCAAGAGAGTGAGTGTGGTAAGGCGTAGGTTGGTCTTCATGCGGCAAGTGGGTGTCCACGAGGAATCCATTTGAAACGGGGTAAGTTTCTTGAGAGAGAACTTATCCCCACATAAATATTAGCCTACACTACAAGAAATTAGACTTTTAACAACCACTTCTTAGCGAAAGGATGTGAATTCGGTCGTTATAGATGTACTTTTAGCGACTAGCATTTTTTCCGGTTGGTAAAAGTTAATTTTTAGTTCAGCAATAACGAAAGGCTATTATTTATCCTTTAAAATTAATAATATCCCTTTGGTAAAGCTAAATATACAAAACTAAGGCCCAATTGTTTTCCTTAAATATACCCCAAACTCTCTGCCTCAAAAAATGAAGAAACCCTAGATGCCATCACATCTCTCCAAAAATGAATAATGTCGTTCTCTTTGTTCTTCATACAGTTACATAACCTGTTCGTTGCAAGTGTGAATGAAATTTTAACCTAGTCTTCAGATCCAATTAGTGGCACCATAGTGAGGAATAGAAAAGTAAGTCTTCTATAGGCGTTGAGATTGCAAGTGTTAGAGCCAACTGAAGACATTCTTGATTCACTTTTATTTTCATTTGATTTCATCTATTTCTTACTAAAGTTATATTCTTTTGCAGTAGCTTCCGAGATCGCTCATCTTCTATTTCCAGGTAAGCTCTACTTTTTTTAGCTTACAGTGTCAAATATTGTTATTTTCCTTTGAGATTTGTGTGGTTAGATTCTTTTTCTTCTTCTTTTTTGAGAGATAAAATAAGATTGGTTGTCTAAATTGAGATAATTTGGTTGTCTAATTTGGTTATCTGGAATTTCTTTTGAAGAAAATATTGTATCATTATCTTTCTTTTGAGAAGAGATAGATTGCAAAATAAATTAATTAAATGAACTGAAAATCGAACTGGGAAACTCTTGTACTTGCATATAAATTTGATTCACTTCAATTAGATTGATCTACAGTTGCACACGGGGTCATTTGCACTTTTTCCCTTATTTTGTGCTCGCCTTTAATTTGTTTAGTGCCTAGTTTATATTATCATAATATTCCACAAGTCTTGCACTTAAATGAGTTGCTAATACATGAGTTGCTAGAGGGAAAAACATACAATTTTATATTGTACACTATCACAAAGATGGTAGTTTATCTGCTACTTAGAATTAAGCCTGCATTTAAAAAAAATATTTTGTTTGGTCACTGAATGTTGTTGATAGATAGATATATAGATAGAGAATATGAGACTAGGATGATAGTGTCTTCCCTTCTTCTTTTAAGCAACTCAATATGGCAAGAAAATAAAGGGACTGTATCTTGGTGGGGCAGTCTGGATGGCTTGTGATTTTGTGTCATTTCGTGATTTTTTTTTCTTTTACTTGGGTTTGATGAACTTGAACCGACGGTCTTTTCTGAACGGCCTCTCCACCTCCCTGAAGGTAGTGGTAAGGTCTGCGTACACTCTACCCTCCAAGGCCCCCACTTTGTGGGATTCCATTGGGTATGTTGTTGTTGTTGTTGTTGTTGTTGTTTTTGATATATAATTATTTGAACTGACATTTTTGGATTTAAATTTGGTGGGTCCAAGTTTTACTTTACTAAGATCTTGCTATGGAGGGTTGCTTTTAATTGGGATCTCCAATTTTGTAATTAGTTTCCATTGTTTCATGAGGATTTAATCTTTACATGTTTTGGGCTTTAATCATTTATTGTGGCCACTATATAATAATATTATGTATTTGGTGCATTTGTTGATATGTGTGCTTAAGCTCAAGGCAATCAAACATTTACTTTAAAATTATTGGACCAGTGGTATTGAGTTATAACTAAATTTTGTGATAACGAGACATGATACTTGTACTAGCTAGTATTAGACTATATAGATGTTCCTAATTGTTTTGTTAAATAATTCTGATAAATAGAACTGCCTTATTGTTATTCTTTTGCAAGCCATATCCACCATGAACTAATGGAGTAATTTAGTTAAAGTTACTATAGGAGAGTATGTGGAAAAGAAAGGAAATATTACTTTTGTTATGATAAGCGTATGAATTTGTGCAATAACAAAAATTATGAGGACTTCGTTGATGTTTGTCATGAATATGCTCCTCTTTTAACTTCGTTTTGGTGATAGTATGAATGAATCTTAATTTCATCTAATCTTTTCATTCAAGAACTTGCCTGAATCTTTGAAATTTGTTTGACATCTTAGATACAAGGTAAACTTTTTATATTTTGAAATGATTTTGCAGACTTGTTCGAGTTATGATTATTGAACACCAGATTTTGGCTAAATAAAAATAAGTACAAGCAGCATGATACAATATAATGTTAAAGACATATCTGTAATGATTTATAAAACCATTTTATTTTTACAAAAGAAAAAGAGGGAATGACGCTATTGTTTATGATATCCTTCAAGTGTGTATGAAGGACTATACTAAGACTCTTATGAAAATAACGCTGACCTTGTTAAGAGCTTAAAATTCTCCTAAGTTTTGCTTTTATATGTGCCTTGAATTTCTTTGTCCATCATCTTTTAGAGAATAACTTTGAGAGACAACTAACCATGATGTAAGTATTTTATCATAAAATATTTTCACTTTCTTAAGTTTTTTTGTGTAAATGTATATGACAGGCTTATACCGAAGGAAAGGTCGTCGTGTTTGCTCGAGTAGCTGGGCACATAAAATATTAATATGCCAGTGTATATCATCTTAAAACTTAGCTGATAGAAGTGAGCTTGATTATTATTTTTGAGTTTTTCCTATATCTCCCTAGATTAGGTAATGTAAAACTTTTCTTGGTTTGGTTTGTGTTTTCTAGATCTCTAGTCTAATAATTTATCATTGTAGTGTTAGTATATGATTTTATAGATAACATACTGTAGTGCCATCACCCTATGTGACTTTAAAATTTGAGTAATTTAGAACAATTATATCATGTCAGAGTGTAATTTAGAGCAATCTTTGCATGTTTTGATTTCCATTTGAAAACATCTGATTCAATGTTCTTGATTCAGAAAATTGGATCATTAAATATTCTGCTTTATCGTCGTAATATTTAGCTGATAAGAGTGAGTTGTAATTTTCTATTTGTCCTGTTTTTGCTTAGACTAGGTAGTGTGAAAAGTTTCTTTGGTTTGTGTCTTCTGAAGCTCTAGTTTAGGTGTTTTCTAATTGTGATGTATAAAATGGAGATGTCAATCATGGTGTTACTATGTGATTTGCAGATAATTAATTGAAGTAAGCTAGTGTAAGTCAGCATCTAAATTTATCAATACATATATTGTAGAGAGATTTGTGATTAATTTTGTTGAAGAATTTTGTGATTAATTTTGTTGAAGAATTTTGTGATTAATGTTGACCATTAATATTAGGGTATTTTTGGAAAGAATGGATCTACATGATCCATATAGTTGGGAAAAGCATGAAATATACAGTGATAGGGTGTACCTTTTTTATCACTTGCCACTAAGATGGAGGATGAAATTAGTGTGTATCTTGTTCTTGTTAGAGGGTGTTTTATGTTTACATTTGTACAATATACAATAAAGTTAGAAACTGACGATTTGGGATGTCATACTTCTTTTATAATCAACAATCAAGTTTGTATAGAAATTGACTATTTAGTATAATTTTTGTTATTTGTAATATATTATATGTAAATGACTGAATGCATTTAATAAGAGAAGTTATCATTTGGTTCTTATATGGAATATAATAGAACTGTCACAACGGGACTGTGAAATAGTTAAATGGGAATTAGCCAAGGGAAAATAGACTATTAGCGAAAGGAGAATTTGTCGCTAAAAGAAGCTAAAACGATCGGAATTTTTTTTGTCACTACAAGATCTTTAACGACCGGATCACAATTTTGGTCGTTAACTTTTAACGACGGGGCTTTTAACGACCGGTGACGACCAGATTTATTTCGGTAGTTACAGACTTTTAACGACCGGATTTGGCCTTTTAGCAACCGAATTTTCTTTCGCTAAAGGTCATTTTTCTTGTAGTGCTAGTCACTATTACTCTATAAATTTTCTATCGAAAGCATGTACCCAATAATTTAGATTAACCCGTATTCCGGTCACATCCCAAGAATCCCCCTCTCATTGCTAAGATTTCCCGGTTGATTTCGCTAATTTTAGCCTACTTGTGACAAAAACCCCATTTGATATTTGACACTTTTGTGTCACTCCCTTAATTTACTATTTGTTTACTCGTTAATGTCTTTAGCTACAACTAGTTAGAACGAAATTTTATTTTTCTATAAATTTTCAAAACCACTCTCTTGGGATGATCCCAACCCTTGGTTGGGTTACTAAACTATTGTACAATCATAGACACTTGCATCGGAAGTTGTTTCTTGATTACGCAAACATCAGGAAGCAGTCATCTGATTCAGCAGTGAGACATTCTCTTTCATCTCATTCAACACTTTATCGTGTTCTTCGACTTTGTGAAGAATGAGTGAGAGTATCTCTTCTACTTGTCCACCCTCATTTTCCTTGGACTTGCTACGCTCATGAGAGGGAATGTACCGATCTTTCTTTTTGTACAGTACCTCCAATGCCAAAATCTGCTTGGCCACGAGATCTAACTAAGTCAACAATGTGGCCAAAATCTGGTCCTTCTCAGTCTCCTTGTTGGCCTTGGCCATGTTATCAAGGAGCTGGGTTGTTATTGCATAGGGTAGTCATGTGAGTCCCCCAGAGAAATTTGGTCAGTCACTCCTCCATTTTTTGGACCAAGACCTCTATAGAAGCAGTCCGGTAGCATGTTATCTGAGATTCCATGAGTTGGGCATTGCAGGAATAGTGACTTAAATCTCAGCCACAACTCATGGATTGACTCACCCTCCATTTTCTTGAAACTTAGGATATTATCCCTAAGAATCATCATTCTCAAAGAAGAGTGGTATGTTTGGTCACCGTTGCTACAAGACATGCTCTTTTATTCCTCTCTAAACAAGCAACACGAAAACCAAAACTAAGGGTAAGTATATTCAACTATGATTAAAAAGAACAAAATTCAACTTAACCAAAGAATCTTAACCAACACAACTCCCTGGCAGCGGCGCCATTTTGATCTAATGTGAATCAAGGACACTTAATCCAGTTCTAAGCGTCTATGGTCGTTAGTCGGTATAATAACCCAACTAAATGAGTTGGGGTTAAATCCCACAAGGAGTGGTACGCTGATGAGTCCACGATTTGGACTCATTTATGGCTTTATTTGGATAGATTTATTGTCCTCAAATGACTTTTTTGTGCCAATAACTGATGTAAAATCCTTGTTTTCCAAGTATTTGGAATGAGGAACAAAGCATGGACACTTATGGGCAAAAAGGAACAAGACAACTGAAAGAACGAAGAAAAGAAGGCATATTGATCGCCTAATCCATTGGGTGAGTCACCGAGTGGCTATTACCTCGCTTAAGTTCCAGTGTGCCAAGCCCTGAAGAAGAAAATCAAGTCGGCGAGAGAAATGAGCAGTTGGCGTGTCATCGAACGGTTCCGCGATGCAGTGTTGGATCGCCCAAAGTTACAGAACTTGAGGACACTAAATCTATCCAAATAAAGCCCTAAATGAGTCCAAATCGTGGACTCATCAACGTACCACTCCTTGTGGGATTCGACCCCAACTCATTCTATTGGGTTATATTACTAACTAAACATCATTGGCACGTAGTTGGATGAAGTGTCATGATACGTGAAATCAAAATAGTGCCGCTGTGGGGAGTGGTATTGGTTAAGAATATTTAGTTAAGTTGAATTTCATTATTGTTAGTCATAGTTGAACTTACTTAATTTTAGTTTTGTTTTGCTTGCTTGTGTTGTAAAACAGGAAGTATGAGTGTGAACGGAAGCAATGGTAGCCAAGTAGGCCACCACGATGACATCGAAAACCTCAACGATGTCAATGAGCCTAATGCTATTGACCCCCATCTTATGGGTGGAATTGGTGCCATTCACTTGCCTCCGGCCGAAGGGAATGCGGTGTTCCATATCACAAGTACTATGTTGCAACTCTTGTAATTGAAGGGGTTGTTCAGTGGTTTGGCTCATGAGGATCCCTATGAGCATATTAGAAACTTACTAGATGTTTGCTGACCGTTATCCTTTAAGAACATATCCCAAGAGTCGGTCCGGTTAAGGTTCTTCCCGTTCTCTTTAATGGGCGAGGCATGTAAGTGGATGGCTGAATTGCCACGTGAATCAATCACTTCGTGGGAGGAGCTGGTCACTGCATTTCAAGTGCTATTTTTCCCTCCTTCGAAGATGATGACTCTTCAGGACATCATTTAAAGCTTCAAGTGTCTGGAGGGCAAGCCAATTCATGAAACTTGGCTACGATTCAAGAAGTTGGTGCTCCAATGCCCAACTCATGGCTTGCCTTACAACGTGTTGCTGCAGTATTTTTACCGAAGTATTGATTCGGTAAATAAGGGTGTTGCTAACCAACTTACTCCTGGAGGTTTGATGCAACAACTTTATGTGATAGCAACTAAGCTCTTGGATGGCATGACTACAATCAATCGGTCTTGGTACACCCGCGAAGATAAGGTCTTTCCTCTCACGTTTAAATTGACCATGGAGCAGATGGAAAAAGACCTAGAGAGGGACCAGAACATGGCCAAGATCATGACACAACTTGACATTTTGTCCAAAAATGTCATGGGAGCTGGTGCTCGAAGTGTCAATGTCGTGGGTGTCGGGTGTGTTAATCCTGATGAGGCCGAGTTTGAGGCTTTGTACAACGAAAAGGCAAATTTCCTAGCAAACCAAGGTGGTGATTATCGTTCAAACTACCCGAGGCAGGGTGGTAACCAAGGTTGGAACAGGGATGAAGGTTGGCAGGATCGTGATCAAGAGTGGAGGGATCGAAATCCCAATTGGAAGGATGGGGAGAAGGATAGGTATGTGCCTCCCCACGAGCGTCAGAAACCAAAGGATTCGGAAGTTGGTCGGTCGGAGGATATGCTTTCTCGTATCCTCAACAAAGTTGGGAGGTTGGACAAGATTTTGAAAGAAATGAAAGAAGATGTGTCGACTCTCAGCCAGACGGTTACCTCTCATATCGATCAAACAATTGGAGACCCAAATGGGTCATATCTCGTCTTATTTAAACCCGAGACAGCAAGGGGGTTGCCTAGTGATACTTTAGCCAACCCCAAGAATGAGGTTTGAGTGTGGACTGACGTCGTGCCACGATGTTAACTAACGCGCTTCTTGGGAGGCAACCCAAGGTTTTAGCGCTTTATTTTTGTTTTAGAAATAATTGTGTGTTGATTTTATAGGTTGAACTGTGGCATGTGTTTCAAAAGTGCAGATTGCTAAGCCAAATATCCAGTCAGCGACTTGCCGAAGAGGTTGGCGAGCCCGACTTGGACTGTCGTTTGATTCAAGAAAGCCTAGGGATTGAGTCTGTAAAACTCGGTGAACCGAGGAGCTAATTGGCGAATCATCGATTGGGTCGGCGATCACGACTTTGTCCGCCATTTGGACCCCCATAATAATCGAAAGTCATGTAAAACTCGGCGAGGTAAGTACCCACTTGGAGGGTTGCCAAGTGGGTCGGCAAGCGAAACTTATGTCGCCGAATGGGCGAGAATTGGACGATTTTTAAGGCCAGAGGTTCAAAAGTTAAAACTCTTTCACTTTCCCTCACTATTCAACTTTCCAAAATCTCACTCGCACTTTAATACCCTATATTTTTGCATTTTTATCGCATTTTAGTCATCAGATTTGTGTTCGGAGTTGATTTCTTTGCCGCCTAGCATTTCAAAGTATTTATTCGACATCTAAGGTTGGTTTTCTGAACCCCAAATTCATTTTTAGTGATTTGTACTCTTTTGCAACTGATTTTTATTTTAGTGATGTGTGTTGGACCTCTCTGATCATAATTGTGTATGTGTGTATCTTTGTTAATTTGAATATCGTGCCTATAATACTTTATTATTCAACTCTTG